TTATCTTTATAATCTCTCCTGTATCTATAAACACACCTTTTTTTCATTTGTAATACGTATTGTTAAACGTGCTTTTACTCCACTGTAAAGAGCACGGCCTTGTGTTGATCCTCTGCACTGCATCTCTGTCTTCCATTTTACTCATTTCTGATCCTTGTATTGTTGCTTTAGTTCAACATTCTTTGAACTTAAAACTTTTAAAAATCTTTTTAAGGTAATGCTTAGCTATTTATCGTCAGTGACATCTCCTTGCTAACTTAGGATTTAATGTCGTACACTCCCCTCAAGTACTGTTACAGTAGGTAGCTAATGGGACACGAGCAGAGCTGGAGAGGGCTCCCCGCAAAACACACACACCAGGAATGTCGGGTGACCATATGATTGTCAGGCAGCTATTAACTGTCTCTCAAATAATAATTGGTCACAGCCAGCACCAGAGAAAGGCAGTCTCCTAGAAATACCTGAAACTGGTGATCAAGAGCTTCCCGATAAGATCTCAGGAGCTGGGCAAGTGCACTTGAGCATGCGCACTGAGAGGCAAAATGGCGGATGACCTCCCTGTAGGAACACGGGACCGCAAAGCGGCAAAGCGGCAAAGCGCCTCAAGCAGGCAGGTCTACAACTTAGTAAACACACTGCACATGCAGCCCCTCCCAAGGGCTGGCAGGCCACTGCGCATGCTGACGGCCCACCCCAAAGGACGAATCACAGGAGAAGCAACAGACGACCCCAGAAGAATGCCAACATATAAAACCCCAATTCAAAAGGTCAAATGGCGCGCCTGATCTCTCAAGTTGCCTACTTGACCCTTGTGCAAGTTCCTCTCGTTCACGCTCTAGAGCTCTTTAACAAACTTCCACTCCTGCTCTAAAACTTGCCCCAGTCTCCCCTCCAGCCTTATGCCCCTGGGTGGAGTTCTTTCTTCTGAGGAGGCAAGAACTGAGATAGCCACAGACCCCTACAGATTCACTGATGCTAACATACTTGTGCTGCACGACATGGATACATCACAGCTAAACAGCACCACTTTAATCAAATCTATTTGGACATATTGTAATTTTATAATCGTTCAGTTTTAGTATTCTTTTCCATTATAGTTTCTTCTTTGACCCATGAGCTGTTCAGCATTCTCACTTTACAAATATATGGTTTTAAAATCTGTAGGTATGGATATCTTGTTTCTGACTGTTAAAGCAAACGAAATATGGCCTTAGAAGGGCTCTGTACTTCTATACTTGTAGATGAACTGCAACCTAACTTAATAGGTAAAAAAGAGAGAAAACCTAACTTAGGAGTATGCCCTGTAACAGTAGCTGAGGCTTGGCCAATCCCAGCAGCCGTACTTCAACCACTCATACACTGCCCAGTGTTCACTGTGTTCAAATAAGACAAATGCTGAGCTGTAACCAATCCAGCTGTTTCTGTACCTCACTTCTGATTTCTGTATATCACTTCCTTCTTTTTTGTCTATAAATGTGTTCTAACCACAAGGCATCCCTGGAGTCTCTCTGAATGTACTGTGATTCTGGGGGCTGCCCGATGCATAAATCGTTCACTGGTCTATTAAACTCCTTTAAATTTAATTTGGCTGAAGTTTTTCTTTTAACATAACTTAATTCCATCGTAGACAGAAACTATGGTCTCTATACACCAATTTTCTGAAATTTAACAGAGACTTTAGGGTGTTGCACGTGACCCATATTTTTAAACATTTCTTGTGTTCACGAGAATACATAAGTTGGGTTTGAGTCTATTAACTCAAACTTGATAATTATGTTGCTCAAATCATTGAAAAATTTTTATTAACTTTTATCTTTTTGACCTCATGGTAAATTGAGAGAGATGGGTCAATAATTTTGTCAATAATGATAAATTACCAATTTATCCAAATAATTTTATTTGTGTATCTTGAGACTTTTGTGTTAGGTGCATACAAGTTTAAGGGTATGTTTCTTGAAAAACTGAACCTTTCATCACATGCAGCAACTCTCTCTCTAGTAATGCTTTTTATTTTGAAATTTATTTTGACCAGTATCAATACTGATATATCTTTCTTTTGGCTAGTAATCTTCAGGTACAAAAAGAGGTACCCCAGATGTGGCTATTATTAACAAAATTCAGCTGATGTCAATTATTTAGTCAAATCTGAACATCTGTGTCTTTAAACAGCAAGTTTAATCAACTGACATTAATAGTGACTACTGGACTTATTTCAACATCTTACTATTCAATATGTTCTAAGTTTATGCTATTTTTCTCTTTATATTTTTTAAGATTGAATGAACTTATCTTTGGTTTTTGTTTTGTTTTTTCTTATTACTGCCTCCACCACCTCCCTATTCATTTGCAAATTTTATGTTCCTTTCTTAGTCCCCGAATTTTATCAAGAATACAAAATCCCTAGACGCAGTATTTTAAACTCCCTATCAAAGCAAAGACCTTAAAATTAAAACCTTTATGTTTCCAAAAAGCAAAACCCAATGAAAAAGGTATGAGCCAAGCATGCATCAAGTTATTCAAATTAGAACTGAAGTGAGATTTCTTGAATAAATAAAAATAGATGAATTAATTCCCAACAACAAGAAAAATGAAGATAGAAGACACATGATATTCAAAGAAAAATCAGACCCACTGTCTGTTTTCGTATAACCTGTGAGCTAAGAATGGTTTTTACATTTTTAAATGCCTGGGGGGAAAAAATCAAAATAAAAAATTGTTTCAAAATACATAAAAATCAAATGAAATTCAAATTTTGGTATGCATAAAGCTGTATTGGAACAGAGCCACACACATTTATTGATACATCATCTATGGTTGCTTTCATACTATAAAGTCAGAGTTGTATAGCTGCAACAGAGACCATATGGCCCCATAAAACCTACAATATTTACTGTATGACCCTTCAAGATAAAGTCAGCCTGCCTGTGATTTTTAACATATTAAATGAGTGGATTCTATTAAGATACTATTAAGACACTTAGTTCCCACATGTCCTTCAAAATCTCGGAATCATCACAGTAAGTCTACTGTAATGTTATAATAAAAAGTATCATTAATAAATATGGAGGAACTCCCAAGAAAAAATGGAGATAAGAACTAGCCCAGAAAAGAAAAGCTACAGCTATGATCACAAAAAAGAAAATGCCACTGCAAAGACAGAAAGAGTTCCAGAAAAACCCCAATTTCAGAATCCATAGAACAGGAAGAGAGTCTGGAACAAGAATCAAGGTAATTTGAACAGTGAAACCAATCTTAGCCACCCCCGTGCATATATGTAAACTTACAGGTAGCATCAGCGTTTCTAAAATCAAGCTCTCTGACCAACTTCCAAACAAAGTTCATGCTCTGCGTCAGAAGGTACACAAACATGAGGCTGAAGCTGGGGAAGGAAGCAGGGCCTAAGATAATACCAGCACAGAATGAGAAGTGGCAGAATAGACAGCTAAGCCAAAAGCCATTATAGAGATTAAAACATGTATTTAAAAAAATTTTAATTCTAAGAAAGTGAGACAATAACAAAACCACACAAGATGCAAAAAGGTGTTAAATGGTCAAATTCTACAATTCTTTCAAGTAACATGATTTGTTCTGTAGATAGCACAGAAAAACATGGAAAGCTTTTCACCTCATTCTGTGAAAGCAAATAACCTTCAGGCCAAACCAAAAAAGAATAACACAAAACAAAATTAAAAGCTCCATCTCCTTTATGATTATACCATAAGTCCTTTACTGAATCCAGCAATATGTGTTAAAAACCAACACCACCCCTAACCACAATGACCAGGCAGGGCTTATTCTAGTAATGTGTGGCCACTGCCACATTAGTACATCTATTAACACAGCTCAGAATAATAAAGGCTAACTAAGGCAAATGCTAACATACATCAGTTATAATCCTGATGTATATTTTAAAAGCATTGGACAAACTTTAACACTTATTCTTGATTAAAAACAGAAATAATCTCCTAACAAGTTGAAATAGAAGAGAAATGCCTGAATATCACAATTACTGGCAAAATATTAAAGGCACCCACCAAAGTCAAAGAAAGATAAGGATGATCACGCCCACCTTAACAAATAAATACTCTATGAGGGACTGAACCAATATGAAAAAATATGAATACGTAAGGTTAAAATGCTGGGGGAGGAGATAAAAATTGCATTACTTGTAGGCAATTATCTATATTGTACTTTACAACTGAAAACACAAGAAAATTAAAGAAGAACAATTAACACAAGTAATTATCCAGCTGACATGATATAAAATAAGCACATAAAAGTTAACTTTTAGCCGGGCGCGGTAGCTCCTGCCTGTAATCCTAGCACTGTGGGAGGCTAAGGCAGATGGATCATGAGGTCAAGAGTTGGAGACCATCCTGGCCAACATGGTGAAACCCCATCTCTACTAAAAATACAAAAATTAGCTGGGCGTGGTGGCACATGCCTGTAGTCCCAGCTACTCGAGAGGCTGAGGCAGGAGAATTGCTTGAACCTGGGATGCGGAGGTAGCAGTGAGCTGAGATCATGCCACTGCACTCCAGCCTGGTGACAGAGTGAGACTCTAGCTCAAAAAAAAAAGTTAATAACTTTCCTACAGACTATAATAACAAGACTGCAACAGAAACGATAATAAAATACATTGTTACTGTAATTCTAAAAAAAAGTATGATCCTGTATATTTAAAAAACAAAGGAATCCCAAACGTATGTTTGCATGTATAGCTAAATATAGATATTGTTAAGTCAAAGGCTTATGGCAAATTATTATTGTCTAATAAATACCTTCATATTTTATCATACATAAAAGACAGCTGTAATTATTAAATATTTTACATAATTTTTCAAATTAAATATATTAGGTGCCGTTTTAAAACAGCTACAGGTCATGATTATCTAATTACATAAATATTTAACCAATGCTTATATATAATGTGTAACTGTTTAAATCTGACATTTAAGATCACCTTCAGCATGCTGAAAGAAGAATTTAATAGTGCTTACCAATATCATTAATCACTGCTCTTATTTTGGAGACAAAAGGACCAACTTCACTGGAACTCATTTTGGCTCTTTCCTTAAGGTCAGCACCTGCAAAGTATTTTATTTACAAATATAATCTAGTTGTAAACAAAATTTTAAGGCAAAGAATTGAAAATTTACTTAAGATTAATATACAACTTCAAGATCAGCGTAATTCATCTTTTAACAGAATGACATTACCTAAGTTTTCCTTCCCAATGACCATGTCCAGCAAGAATAAAGTATCTGTCTACTCATGTGCTTAAAGCATTGCTTCTCCAGCTTTCGGTCTCAGGCCCCTTCATGCTCTTAAAGAAAGACACTATAGCTGGCATCCACTGGTCTATAGTTACACTATTAGAAATCAAAACTAAGAAATTGTTTAAATGTTTATTCATTTAAAAATACAAATGAACTCATTAATGTTAACATAAATAACAACAAATTGGTGACACCATCTTGCTTCTTTGCAAGGTCCTGTCAGTTTATCCACCACTGCTTTTGCAGTGTATTAGCACAAATGCCAACCCTGTAAAAACGGCAGATTACAGTTTGGTCAGTCCCTCTAACTTTGTGGATGCCTGCCTTGGGGATGGTCAACCACATGGGAGAAGCATAGATTTAAAGTATGAACAAACTGACAAAAGTCAATTATGACTTTAGCACAGAATCGTAACTTTGGAACAGAGAAAAATAAACACATGGAATTCCTTAAGGGATAATTAACTCTGAGACAAAGAAGATCTTTAGAAAAATTAACAATCTGAGAAAAGATGGGTCCCCAATTAAACAGACAGACAAACAACAAAGTAAAATTACAGTATAGAAGGCATACACTCAGCTATTTACCCCTATTAGTCTATTATAAATCAATCATGATGATACATAATATCGTAAGTAAGGGGTAGGGTAGGGGCATTCTGATCTCACACACTTCCGGGGGAGGGAGAACCTCAGCTGACAAAGCACATAGCCTAACATCCATTGGATCTTAGATATGTACACCCTAGAAAATCTCTCACACACCCAAGAAAACACGTACAATAACATTCAAGGAAGCATACAAAGCCTAGCAAAAAAATGGATATAACCTAAATATCCATCCATAGGAGAATTAATAAAACAAGGACATAATTATAAATAGAATGTTACCTGTACAGCATGAACATGAAAGAATTAAATACAGATAAATCTAATGAATAATATTATTGAAAACGTATAATTACAGAAAGATACACAGGATAATAAGCACAAATTTTAAAAACAATAATGCTATTCAGGGATATAAAACACCCAGAAATGATAAATTCAATTGGTGGTTATGGGGGCTGGGGTGTGATTGGCAATGGGTACACGAAGGACTTCAACTTTATTTGTAATATTGTATTGCTTAGGTTGGGTGGTGGGGGCTAAATATGTGAGTCTAAATGTTTTCGGATGCCTGATACATGTCTCCATCATTAATTTTTCCATGAAGAATTAGTATGTCACAAAGAAAAATGTTGGCAGAACCAAAAACAAAGAAATGATTTAACTCGATGCCAAACTCTTCTTTGAGGCCCAGTATTTCTCAGTTCCATTACTTTGTAAATTTAGATATTTTACATTTATAACCACTCATCTCAAGTGGGCCATTCTGATGCCCAGCAATTCTACTGTATTTCCTGAGTTCATCCACTCTCCTACTCACATATAGACCATGTCACAACTTCCCTCTCCATGAATCTTAAAACCTCCTATCAATCCTACCAAAAGCCAGGAAGAAATTCTACCAGTACTTGCCACCAAAGCTATCCACCCAGGACTTGAACCTATATATTCCTCCCTGCCTCCTGTTACTATGAAGGAACTAACTCATTGAGAGTGACAGGAGACAGACAAATTCCCTGGCAGACAGGGATGCGTCCCCAGGGAGACCCAACCTTCAAGCCAATGACAGTTTAAAAATCGAGCTGCTGGTTCCAGAGAGTCTACAAACAGAGAGAAAACCTCTATCCCTGTATTACCATCACTCTCTTGATTGGTTCCTTCTGGATGATGCCTTTTAACCAATCAAACAGTGCTTTTTCCAAGCCCACCCAGGGATGAATCAGCACACACGCACCCATTCTAACCCATAAAAACCCCAGACCCAGCCTCACGGGTGGCTACCCACTTTGGGTCCCCTCTTACAGCTGAGAGCTTTCCTTATGTCACTCAATAAAATTCTTCTCTGCCTTACTCACTCTCTGGTGTCCATGCACCTCATTCCTCTTGGTCGCAGGACAAGGACCTGGAACTCGCCGAGCTGCAGGCGGCAGGAATGAAAGGGCTGTGACACCCCTGGCCGGCTCGCCAAGCTGCGGGCAATGGGGATAAAAGAGCTGTAACACGCTCCTGCTAGCCAAGCTATGGGAGTGAAAAGCTGCAACATTTCTGGGGGCCCAGACCTCAGGACTGCCCGAGCAAGAATTGTAACACCCCTTGGAGCTCCATGAATGCTGGTATCTCTGAGTTTTTGGGTGACACCACATTCCCCTTATCTAGACACCGGTGCCTGACACGGAAGCCATTTGTGGCATGCCCAGTCCAGCCTCAAGCTGAGCGTGGAGCTGCAGCAGGCATAGGATTCAAGTGGGTGTGAGCCAAGCACAACCTGCCAGGCCAAGTGGATGGAGTAAGCCCAGGGGCCTGAGTGAGGCCGGGACAGAGGTGGCAGGGGCAGCAAAGATTTCTGGCTAGCAAAGTGGCATCTAAGGAATCCTGTAACATCATGAGGGAGGCCAATCCATCCCCTTGTGCACTGGATTCAACCCCTTCTAATCTCCTTGGGGACATCACTCACTCCAGCACTTAAGCTCTCTCCTTGGCTGGCATCAATACTGTCCCTCCTTAGAGGTTCATTCCCATCAGCATACAGCAATGCTGTAATACTGACATCTTAAAAAAAAAAAAAAAAAAAAACTCACACAGACTTCCACTGTTAGCTATGATGGAATAGGTTATCATCAGACCAATTCTTCCATGAAACACTGCAGAAAGTATGTAAGACAGCTGCTTCAGCAACTCATGTGGCCAGGATGTAAGAGGCTGAAAAGCTAGAGAAGGGAAACTATGGTAAGCCTCTGCTTTCCCCCTAAAACATACACTGAGTTATAAACTGGTAGGGGAAAGAGAGTATAAAAGCCATAGCATGAAGCAGCAGCTCGGAAATCTCGGTAATCTCCTGGAACTGGGGAGACAAACACTGGCAGTGAAGACTACTGGCTCAGCCAGAACTTTGAAGCCAAGATCTTGGAGAAAAAGGAACTACAAACAAGAGAGCCCACTAAAGGGACTCACCAAATTAATGAAATAATGGTGAAAATCATATACATTTTCATTAGTTGCAGAAAAAGTATTTGATAAAATTCAATACTCATTCCTTAACATCTTCACTGAGGAATATGTTACATAAAATAGAGTTCAGCAACTTTTAAGTATAGAATTCAACAATGTTTGCAACATTTACTGAGTTCTACAACCATCACCTCAATCCAATTTTAGAACACTTCCTTATCACAAAAAGATCTCTCATGCCCATATATGCAGTCACTCCTGTTCACACCCTAGCACCATGTAACCACTAATCTATGTTCCCAAGAACTGGCCTTTTCTGGACATTTCCTATAAATAAATTGATACAATATGTGGTCTTTTTTGTCTGTTTTCTTTCATATAGCATGCTTTTCAGGTTCATGCATGTTATAAGCATGAAGTCTTCCACTATATGAACATATAAACATTTTTTTTAATCCCTTCATCAGATGACAGATATTCGTATCATTCCCACTTTTTGGCTACTATGACTAATGCTGATATGGACATTCACTTACAAGTTTCTGTGTGGACAAATGTTTTCATTTGTCTTGGATAAACACAAAGAAGTAGAATTACTAGGTCATACTGAAAACTTTTAACTTGGAGAAAAGAAAAAAAAAAAAAACCCTGCCAAGCTGTTTGCCTAGGTTGGCTGCACCATTTCACATTCCTATCAGCAAAGCTTGAGGGTCTCTGTTTTCCTAGTCACCAACAATTGTCTGTCTTTTTTATTATACCTACAGTGAGTGTGAAGTGGTATCTATAAGGATTTTAATTTGCATTTCCCTAATGACTAATGAGGTTAAACACTTTTCATGTGCTTACTGGCCACTCAAACAGCTGCTGTAGTGAAATGTCCATTCAAATCTTGTTCATTTTTTAAAAACCAGGTAATTTGTTTTCTCCTTATTGAATTCTAAGTTATATCTTAGATACAAGCCCTTTCTAAAATATATGATTTACAAATGTTTTCTTCATTTTTGCGGCTTGCCTTTTACTTTCTTGATTTTTGAAGCACAAATTTTGATTAAAATTAATCAAAAGTATAAATTTTTTCTTTTATCATTTGTGCTTTTCTTGTAATATCTAAAAATCAACACTCATTCCTGATTAAAATTATCTTAGCAAACTAGGAAGAAAAGGGAATCTTTATAATAAAAAGTAACTGTAAAGTACCTATAGCTAACATAATCTGTAATAGTCAATTACTAAAAGCTTCCTCCCAGGGACCAAGAAAGAGACAAGGGTATTCCCCAACACTGTAATAGATGTCCTAGTGAGTGTGATAAGACCAACTTAAAACTTACAAGCATTGAAAGGTATAATAATAAAACTGTCATTATTAGCAGATGACTTAACTGCATATGAAGAATAGCCTAAAGAATTTTCAAACCATGAAAATAAGTAAATTTAGTAAGGTTGCTGGATATTAAGCTCAATATACAAAAATCAACTATTTCTATATACTAGCAAAATAAATTTGAATATGAAATTTCAAAGACATCACTTACAAAACATCCAAAAATCAAGGAGTGAAAGAATAAATCCAACAAGAGGCATAGAAGACCCTGACACAAAAACTGAAAAATCTTATTGAAATAAAGAAGCCCCAAATAAAAGAACATATTATGTTCATGTGTTATAATAGTCCATACTAAAAGATGTAAATTCTCTCCAAATTAACAGATTAAATGTTGTTCCAATAAAAATCCCAATTTTTCTGGAAATTA